AAGGTTAGGTTAGGTCAAGGGGAACATTTTACACTGGTCATCAGGTATATTTACCTACTGGTCATTAAGTTATTTAAGTTTAGGTCAATTGGTTTTTAGGTCAATAGAGCCGCACCCGAATGACTATCATCATTATTATTATTGAATTCAGTTTTAAATAATAAATTCAAAAATTTAGATACTTTAATGATAATCAATAAGCAATGTTAAACAGATATAATTTTAAATGTGAAACAAATAATGTAATTTTAAATATCTATTAATATTTCAATGAATAAAGTTATTTCAGTGTTGTATAGCATATAATATTAATTTTCTGAACTAATTTACAAATTAAAATGTTATATTATAGCGGTGTGTTTCATGTGGGGGAAGCAATGTGAATTCATTGGGGTCGTTCAGATCAGTACGTAATATTGAATATGAATGAATAAAAATATATATTTGTTTGCAAGCACTTGTAGTTGTGGTGAAAATGGCAGCTAATGGTAACAACACTTACATATGTATGTATTAATTAGTGTTAAAATCAAAAGCAGTTGACAAATTAAAATGTATACTTTTTCCATATCATAACTTTTAAATATTCTTATTATTATATTTTTAAAAATTGTTTAAATATCAGATTAGACGAAATACCCAGCTTCCCTGTGCAAAATCTATTAGTTTGTGACCAAATTCATTAATATCATGTATTCTTAGTTTTAACGCTCTTTCTAACGGTGTGCACAAATTGAACCCAGGACTAATAATTTGTGTGCTAGAACACATAAGTTAAAAACTACCATACCTCTGCAGTTAAGTGTCTTTCCATTGGAGAACTGAAAGCCATTGAAATTAGAAAGAAATATAGTTTTGGATTATTTTTAATTTTTATAGTTTAGGAATAAACGATCTTATCGGAACTTAGTTTCCAAGTCTACTGTATATGTCTTGAATTGTTATAAGCTTGATTTAAATCATCAAGTATATTATGACAAACTCGTATTCCTTTAGCGGTAAAATAATGTAACATTTTCTGGTGCGGGTCTATTGACCTAAAAACCAATTGACCTAAGCTTAAATAACTTAATGACCAGTAGGTAAATATACCTGATGACCAGTGTAAAATGTTCCCCTTGACCTAACCTAACCTTACCTATCCTTACAATGGTCAAATGTCAATTGGTCATTAAGTTATTTAAGTTTAGGTCAATTGGTTTTTAGGTCAATTTGCCAGTTCCCAACATTTTCCCCTTTAATGTTCGATTGAATCTCTGCATAATTGCACATTTGATATATATTTGTTTTTACGTGTAAAATGATATTATTTTTCATTATCAATCAATAACTTTTTAAAATCTTTATTGAGAAATTCTTTTCCTTGATCAGTTCTTAAATAAAAAGCTTTTCTATTATTTTCTAATATATTTTTAAACACAATTACCATCTCTTTGCTAGTCATATTCTTCATTGACTCTGCCCAGGCACACATTTGGACATTATAATATTACTAAAATATAATTTTATTTTTATTGTAATTTATTAATACACCAAATAATATCATAACTTATATCATAGTTAAACAAAAATGCGATTCTTGACTATAATGTCACCCAATAATGTCTTAACCCTTAATGGGGTCGGCGCTCAATACCCACGATAACCTGTTTCGTGTGCGTCATCTGGTAATTGCGTTTATATTGCAGCGGAACGTCTGTATCCTCCGTGCGGTACAACCGGTAACGGCGTACGACGTGAGCCAACGTTAACTTAATCACCAGAAGCGAGATCCGCATACCAATGCAATTTCGAGGGCCAGCACCCCAGGGTAAGTATGTGTAGGGTTTAATCATCTGCCGGCGCTCGGGATCGAAAAACCTATCCGGGTCAAACTGGAACGGTTGTTTAAAATACTCCTGGCTATGGTGCATGGCGTAGGCAGGTATGTCCACCTGATCCCCTTTACGCAAAGTTATCCCAGTCGTCCCTAATGTGTAATCCCTGGTGGCCAGTCGTATGAATCGCAAACCCGGCAGGTGTAGGCGTATGGTCTCGGATACCACTGCCTCCATAAATGGTAGGGACTGTAGGACGTCGTAGTCAATGTCGCCGTCAGGTTGTAATATCTCCCGGAGCTCAACAAATAGGCGTTGCTGGTGGTGCGGGTTGATGGCCAGCTCGTAAATGGCATAGGCCAGGGTGCGTTTAAGGGTATCGTAGGCTGTAGTCAATATGAAGTATATCTGAGCGCGCACCTCATCGTCACTCAAATGATTTTTTAATGAAACGATTTGTGTCTTATCTCCCGTTCCCTTCAAAGGTTTATTCGGTTCTTCATCTAAAAGTGTAAATAATTAGAGTGTAATACAGTTATAATCAGATATTAAGCATAGTGTCAAAAAGAACGTATTTTACCAAGTGTATAATATTATGATTAAACAAATTAAAAAAATTACATTATGTATAAAGCAATTATATTTGAATTAATTGATTTATTTTCTATACACTAACTAGCCTAGCTTATCTAAAAGAATTTACCTTCGATAAAACAACTAGTTTCACTAGACTTATAAACTCCAGGCGCTGCGTCGGAATCCTTATTAGCGTCCAATAGGGTCTGCAAAAAGTCCGTATACTTGTTGGAGGCGTCCGTAAACTTACTGCGCGTTTCGATGATATCCGTCATTAGTTTATTGAAGTAAACGAGTTCTTCCGGTTGGCCAGTATTGGTGACCGTCAGGCGCGCCAACCAACGGGACGGTAGGGCTAGTTTTGCGATCATTTTCCACCACTTAACGTCCAGTAAACTTTTGGCATACCTTATGGGGTGACCACATGTGTCTAATGTAATTCCATTGTGTCCTCTCCTATACTCATAAACTGGATTTTGATTATCAATAGTCCAGTGTATGAGTATACGATTGGATGCTATGGAATTACATTAAAAATACACTAAATCAATTTAATAATAATTTTTATAGATATGCATATAAATGGTTATGAACATATTATAAACTCATTTGATTAAAGCAGTACCTAAATTTCACAACCATTTAAATGCATATATAATTCCTGAAGCTAGTCACTTATTAATGACAAAACATAGAAGCTTATTAAAAAAGATATCATTTTGCACATATGATCTTACTAATCTAATAACCGGGGTTCTCTATATCCTAAGAATATGTATTGAGCTGTTAACTATTGATAACATAATAAACTTGATTAATACATAGTGTATTAATAATGCGAAAATTGGTTATTACCATAAATTCATTGATTAAAATTTGCAAAAATTATACCTTTTTAATAAGCTATTATGTTTTATCATTAATAAGTGACCAACTACAGTATGTCACTATATTCGCTATGCTTTATCTATTATAAAACTTACAAATTAATGTTTGCTACCTTACCTCACTACTGGATTATTTCTATCATTGTGTACATTAGTTTTAGTAGCAAGCGCGCAGGTAGCCATTACGTCCATGCTGAAATTGCCAAACATCTCCATGACATTTAATGGCCTACGATCCTGAGCACAGGCGTCCAAATGAGTCTGGAAGTCGCGTAGGCATTGCCTGATGGACGGGTACATGCGTTTCATACGTCCCGTAGTGAAGGCCCGGCTGATTATATGTCTCAGGCGGCGCCAGTCGTCCCCACAAGCTTGCGATATACTGCGGGCCTGTTTGGAGTCTTTGGGACGACTGACAATACGGTCAGTAAACGAGTTAAAGTCACGGATTAGTATGGATTTGATGAGCTCGGGCTCGGCTACCGTGAGCACCGGGCGGTGACCCGCGTAGTAGCTGTAAATAGTTATTTTATTCAATGAATGAACTTAACCAATTTAATTATTGAAATTTCGTTTGATAATCCGAGGTAGTTCATTTAACAATGTTAAGTGTAAACATTAAAATTGATTTTGTGCTTATTGTTTTTGGGATTACATACTGTATTTATGTGCAAGATTTTTAATTTAATGTCAAGATTTATTTATACTTTAATTAATAGTTTTTACTAGATTATTGCAGTTTTAAGTTCTAATAAATAAACGTAAAATAATCTAATTTGTTGACAAATTCATTATACGTTGTGTTATTCAGTTAGACTGCCCATTGTCAAATATCTTGACATTCAAGTATTAGAGGACCCTGTCAAGTATCAAGGGAAGATGTAATACTTAAATATTAAATAAATAAATAAATTACTTAATTAAATATTAAATATAATTTTCAAAATATAAATATCTAACAACAATTTATATCATTTTCTATATAAAACTACAATTTAATATTTATTTAATATTTATATTTACTACCAAAGTAAAAATGTGATTATAAGTAAGTATGATTATAACTTAAATTTAATTTTCATAAACAAAATGAACTTATTTTTACTTTTTATTAGTACAGTATTTTTGAATATTAATTTTAACTTAGTTTATATAATAATCAGGGAATTATTGTCAAGTATTGAGTTACAGAAAATATCTCAATTAAAACTAGTATAATAAGCACTCTTTAGATCTAATGATCTATACTATACTATAATTATAGATAACATATAACATGGATACAATTAAAAAGTAACTATAACTATAACTATAACTAAATTGTTAGTTATCTAAATTTTGTTAATTTACCGCTAAGTGAAAATATTTACTGGTAAAACTTAAACAAAATTTACTGTCAAGAATTTTCAAGATTTTTTGAGTTAGCTTTCAAGTATTCAAGTTTTTAGATCTGGTCAGCCTATATACAGTAATAATACCTCAATACCTCTACTATTTATTAAGCTAATATAAAAATCATATTTTAATTATATAAATAGTTAAATTGTTCCTAATTATAATTACCCATATATTTTGCCATATTTAGTGTACCAGCTCACCTCCTGGTGCGGTTGGGGTACTGTGAAAAAACTTAACACATTACCAAATATAGGTAAAGGTGTGGGACCAGGTATGCCTCGACTGGCCCAGTACCTAAAGTCCCGGCTCCATATCCTATTGCAAACCAATTATATAATACTATATACGACGTTTGAACAACCATAGTAACATTAGTTATTTTTATTAATACTTAAAAATCCAGTAATATTTTAACCTGATAAGTTATAATACTACTTGTTTACCTTAACCCTATGAATATTTGATGAATAATTGACTTTCGTATAAAATTAATAATTAGATATAATAAATATAAAATAGCTAACGTTACTATGATTGTCCAAAGCTCATATAATATTTATAAATACCAAACGAGATACGAAATAATTAATATAATGCTAATTAGAAACCACCACATAATTGGAGTTAATTTAGTTAAAATAAATTAGTTTTAAAAGTTGTTGTTTGTTATAAACTTCAAAATCTATCCTTAAATCCTATTACAATTCCTTTTATAAATTTCAAAACAATTTGTCCTAAAGATCCTATTACAACTCATTTTTATAAATTTCAAAATAATTTGTCCTAAATGTCCTATGACAAATCATTTTTATATATTTCAAAATAATTTGTCCTAAATGTCCTATGACAAATCATTTTTATAAATTTCAAAATAATTTGTCCTTAAAATCCTATTACCCTAAAATTATCATAGTGATTTAACGGTTGTTTTTTTGTAACCATTTTCTAACCTTAAATGATTATAAAAAATTTAAACGAGTATTACTGATTTTTATGTAATTATTTTCACCATAAAATTACTACGGTAATATGCCAATATAGCGGATAGTTTCTATGATAACCCCTTATGCCGGTTGGTTAACATGATAACTCATGGCTATTGGTTTGGTTTATGTACTGATTCTTGCATACAATTCACTATTAAACAAATCTTATGACACCCTATACTTTATTTTCAATAAAATAAATATTTTTGACCCGAAATTCATTGGCCATACTAATACAGTTACATTTGATAATGTTATAATGAATTTGTTTAAACAGGATGTTAAATATTTTGTTAACATTTAAAAACACATTTAATGTATGACTTGTATAAAATTGTCTATAAAAAGACATAGAGCAAAGTATTCAATATTTATAAGTTTTAAGTTATACTTTAAGTTTAAAATAATAGTAGATTTATTAAACATCACGTGAATTATGACTTTACTTTTAGGATCAGTGATGGCACTGATTTGCCAGACATACAAGTGGTGTCTCATTGGACTCATTGTGGCGGCGATGGCCTATTACTACATGTAAGTAGGCTTCCCAAATCTCAAGGTTCAAGTAAGACTTTCAAGGAATCGGTCATATGCTTAAGGTAATGGGACTCACTCAAAAGGCCTAACGCCTAAAAGGCCTAAACTTGAATAACTAATGTCACGTCAATATTTTTGAGGTACAAATAAGGATTCTCAAGGAATTTGATTTTTTGATTTGGGAACGCTATATGTTAAGCATACTGTATATTAGATTTAATTAATTTTTAATTAATTTAAAACAAAATATTTGTTGAAATTATTCATTTAATCATTGAGTTCGTGGAGGAATGCCTTCAGCTATTGGAAGGATCGACACATTTGTGGTCCAAAACCCATCCCTATATTCGGAAACTTTTTGAGATTATCCCTAAATCCTCGACCATTACTGGAGTTGGAGTGGTATAAGAATTACGGCAAAATTTATGGGTAATTATGCCATAAAAATAAAAACAAATTGAATATATTTTTTATACAAACTTTTGATTGTGTTTACAGTTTATACATATTATCGAAACCCACGCTAACAGTGGCCGACCCGCAGCTCATCAAACAAATTCTGGTCAAAGATTTCAATATATTTCGTAACCGACCCAAAGTTTCCGGGGGAAATAGCCTGGTCATGTCACATGCCAGGGATGAGGACTGGAAGCGGATCCGTGCGATAGCCAACCCTACCTTCACGCCCAGAAAGATGAGGAAAATGTATGCTCTGATCGACCGGTGCTGCGAAGACTTCATCGATAGCCTCGATAAGGATGTGTCGAATGGTATGAATGAAGTCGAGTTGAAGCAACTGATGAGCGCCTACACTATGGATGTGATCGCTTGCTGTGCCTTCGCCACCAAAATCAATACATACGCCGATCCTAACAACCCGTTCACCACTAAAGGGGCCAATATATCAAATGCTCCCATTTGGAAAAGGATGTTGCAAATGACCTTGCCCACATTTATTTTATCCAGTAATATATACCCTAAGATTTTAAGCACCGTTGGCTCTAACGCCACCTTTTTTGTCGATTTCTCGCGAAGTCTTATAAAGAAAAGGAGAAATAATAACGAAAAACACAACGATTTTCTGCAGTTATTAATGAATTCGGAGAGAAGTGATGGCGATATCC